TTGGTGTCGGTTGATCTTTTTGTTGAAAACTGCCCCGAGCGGCTGCCTCTCGAGTGGCAGAGTGCACACATCACTCAGTGGCTGTACCCTAAGTGGACCCCACAAAGCTTGGCCTTCCCGGGCCAACACCATGGGGGCTGGCCTCAATGTGCCTGCTACTCTCAGCCACCTGCTCGAGAGAACCTGGGAGTGGGTGAGGTCGGCCCTCTGCCCGTCCCTGACAGAGGGTTCCAGTCTGTCTGAAGAAGCCCTGTCTTTCTGGTGGATGTTGCCTCGTGCCACTGCACGCCAGTGTCCCCAAGGTGGCCCTTGCCTGGCACTGCAAGCTGCTTACTCGGTCTGTGACATGGTCACCTTCCTATGACCAGCGGGACTGGGCTGGCTGGTTCCGTCTGGAGCTGCCCGGGCACTGCCTGTGTGTCTGCTGGGCTCGGCTTCCAGGAGCCCTCTCCTTACTGCCAGAGAGTCCCACCACCCTTCTCTCCTGACGCAGAACAGCTGGTCCCTTTGACCACGCTTAGGGAGGGTCCGGCTGGTGTGGGGTCTGCATGCAGAATGGGCGGGGTGACCTGCCCAGGGCCCTGAGAGGGGCTCCAGGACTTGGGACTGGAGCCACCAGCATCTTGCTCGAGGGCTGTGGGGCCCTCATGAGGGTGGACCCATGTGTTTCCCAGTTAGTCCAGGACTTGGGCTGGAGCCCGCTGTCATCTGGCCTGGGAGTGGCTCGGGCCAGACCAGTTAAGCAGCAGAGCGAGGCCAGCTGGGCTCCAGGGCTGCCTGCTCCTGATTAAGTGGGCTCTCTCTGGCCTCTTTTGTCCTGAGCCTCTCTTCACACTCTGTGCTTGCCCCCAGGCCAACCCCAACAGCGAGGAGATCTGGCTGGCGGCCGTGAAGCTGGAGTCAGAGAACAATGAGTACGAACGGGCCCGGAGGCTGCTGGCCAAGGCGCGGAGCAGCGCACCCACCGCCCGGGTGAATAGCATTGGCCATCTGGGGCACTTTAAGTGCACTCACAGACCCTGCCTGGCTCGTCCGAGTGGGGGTGTGCGGGAAGGCTACCGCGCACACGCTCAGCTCTGCGGAGTGGTTTTAAATGTGCTGATTTGTTTACCCCGCCTTTGCGCACGAGGTACCTCACAGAACTCTGTGAGATATAGCAGGGAACAGCTGAGCGTGGCCGTGACAGACGCGCCCGGTCCTGACGCGGGGGGTGGGGGGGCTGCTCCCCGTGCGACGTGCGTGTCCGCCTCGCAGGTGTTCATGAAGTCGGTGAAGCTGGAGTGGGTGCTGGGCAGCATCGCGGCCGCCCAGGAGCTGTGTGAGGAGGCGCTGAGGCACTACGAGTACTTCCCCAAACTGTGGATGATGAAGGGGCAAATCGAGGAGCAGGGGGACCTGACGGAGAACGCTCGGGAGGCCTACAGCCAGGGGGTGAGCTGCCGCCGGCCCCGGCCTGCCTGACTCAGCACTGGCAGCCTGAGTACCACCACGTGGGGCCAGCTCTGTGGGCCCTGCTGGTGGGGCACGGTGTCAGTCCCAGGTCCTGGCCCTCGCTCAGGCACTGTGCTCAGCTCTCAAGCCCCCAGTTTGACACTCAGGACATCTGAGGTGGCAGCTGGTGTGTGCTGTGCACAGCCATGTGCGTGACCTTACGCCCTGCGTACCTGTGTGTACGGCACATGTAGGTCCCAGTACGCTCTGCATACACATGTGTACAGCACACCCATGTGCCCGCATACACGTGTGTACAGCACAGTCACATGTACATGTGCACAGCACCCCCATACATCCCAGCATGCACACACATGCACAGCACCACCACACACTGGTGCGCACATGTGTATGGCACCACCGCACATGCCCTTACATGCACAGCACCACCACGCATACCAGCACGCACATGTGCACAGCATACCCACATGCACAACACCACCACATGTATGTATTTATAGCACACCCACATGCCAGCATACACATGTGGATAGCACCACCACACGCCAGCATGCACATGTGCACAGCACTATCACACACGCCATTATGCACATGTGTACAGCCAGCCACATGGCCATGCACACATACGCAGCACAACCACATACTTGCACAGCACAACCACACGTGTATACAGCATCACCACACACTCCAGCATGCACATGTGCACAGCACCGCCACATGCCCACACGTGCAAAGCACAGTCCCTTGCGTGTGTGCACAGTGCAGCCCTGCCCTGTGTGTAGAGCCTCGTGCAGTGGGACGTGCTGTGCTGGGACACCGGCAGCTCTGAGCCTCCGTTCGGGAGAGACCGGTGCCCCAGCCCCTCGTAGAGTTCACCTGAGCTTCTCCCTTGCTTGGTCTGTGGCCATAGTTGAAGAAATGTCCCCACTCCACACCCCTCTGGCTCTTGCTGTCTCGGCTGGAGGAGAAGATTGGACAGCTGACCCGCGCCCGGGCCATTCTGGAGAAGTCTCGTCTGAAGAACCCAAAGAACCCTGGGCTGTGGTGAGTCCTGAGACTGAAGGCCTGTCTTCCCCTTAGTGTCTGTCCCCACCAGCTTCCCCTGCGGGGTCTGTCCTCACCCAGCTTCCCCTGCAGGTGGTTTGTCCTCACCAGCCCCTTTGTAAGAGTCACTGCGCAGTGGTTCCAGCCTGCTCCTAGGGTGGGGCAGCAGGGGCTGGCCTCAAGGAACCGCGGTCCCTGTCTTGGAAGATTGGCCTTGACAGTGGCCCAGCAGTGGGTAGTTGGATATGGTGCGATTTGCCCTGAGAGAGAACACCCATGGGAATGAGGGTACCTGAGGTGGAGGAGGATGAGGGTGACAAGAGAGGGGCCTGTGGACACAGCAGCTCAGGCACCAGGACGAGAGCTGCTGTGTCCACCAAGAGAGGCTGGTCCTGGCGCTTCTCCGTCTTGGCACCTGCACCAGCACCAGAGCTCCTCCTCTGGTGGGGGCTGTGCTCTGCAGAGGGTGGACTGCAGGCTGTCACTGAGCTTCAGAGGTTCCCGGGGCTGTCTGGGCCAGGAGGGCTGTGGTCCTGCTGCAGGGGTGGGGCTGGACATGGCCTGGCCTGTCTCACCAGGCTGGAGTCTGTGCGGCTGGAGTACCGTGCAGGGCTGAAGAACATCGCCAACACGCTTATGGCCAAGGCGCTGCAGGAGTGTCCCAACTCTGGTAAGGGGCTTCCTAGCTTCCACCTGGTGGAGTGGCAGTCCTGAGCGAGTGGGGACTGTCTCCAGACCAACTTCAGCTGTCTTTGGTCATTAAGACGTTGGGGCCAAGTTTCTAGTCCTGTGGCAGAGCCCGACTCCCACACTCTGAAGGGCACCATTGCCTTCCCTTGGACACTTGACGTCAGCCTCCTTCCCACCTGTGGCAGCACACAGGAAGGAGTTCAGAGTGAGGGAGGGCGGGGTCTCCTGTGCCGTGTAACTGGGCAGGAAGAAGCCAGGCTGCCCAGTGGTCTGTGAGAATTTCCTACTCTCATTGAATCTTTGGGAGGTAGCATTCTGGTGGCGTCATAGTTGTCTGTGGGTGTGTTAGCACAGCCTCACCCGGTAGCCAGTGGCCCGGCATGTGACACTCCGATGAGATCGCCACCTCAGGGTGGACCTTCACCAGCGTTTCAGACAGCTCTGCTATGAGACGTTCCCAGACATCCCTAGGAAAGAAACTTGGCAGGTTGGCGCTTCTGCCTTAGTCGCCCCCACAAAGTGGCCTGCTCTGCCTTCGTGGCTCCCGTGGTAGCTCGACGGGCTCCCCTTTTGCAGGCTGTGAGCCGTCTGTGAATTGCATGCTAGTCTCTGCAGGCCCCTCAGGACAGCCTGCCAGCGGTGGCGGAGGGGGAGGGTCCTCTCTGAAGCAGAGCCAGGAGGCAGGTGCAGGTCTCTGTGTCTGACTCACAGGTGTCCTGTGGTCTGAAGCCATCTTCCTTGAGGCGAGACCCCAGAGGAAGACCAAGAGTGTGGATGCTCTGAAGAAGTGTGAGCACGACCCTCATGTGCTCCTGGCCGTGGCCAAGTGAGTCCTGTCAGGGCCTTTCCCCAGTGTCTGACGTCTCTCGCGGTCCCTGCTCCCTGGCCACCAGAGCTGTTGCTATGGCAAATTGCTTGGCTTTGACCTCTGGGGCTGCTGTGCACCCGGGCTCTGTCCCCCAGCCTGGGAAGGATGGCCTGCTCGGGGTCCCTGGGCTCTGCCCCAGGAGAGCTTGCTCCAGGAGTCCTGGAGAGGCCACTGCTCACCCCTGCCTGCACGTGGCCAGGGTTAGAAACAGGCGGGTCACCAGTGCTGGTCCAGGCGGGACGTGAGTGATAAACAGGTGAGCTCCGACTGCTTGAGGGGCGGTAGCCAGCAGTGTGCCCCATGTTGGGCTGTGAAGGAGGCAGCAGCGGTCTGACTCGAGGACAGTTCAGGCCTGTGAGTGTGGGCTGCAGGGACAAGACCCAGAGGCTACCTCTCTGAAGACGCTGGGGGGGGGGCCA